CCCCCCAGGAAACCAAAAAGACAAAGAGAAACTTGAAGGCAGACGAAAGCCACAAACGAAACCAGCCGAGTTGCAAGCCAAAAACGGAGACGGAGAAGGCACGGAACACTGTAAATTCCGATAGAAAAGACATGCGAATGTGCAAGAACCTCGGGTTTTTGTTTCTTTCGGAAAGCACTGTAAAAACCGATACGAAAGCCGAACCGCGGACTTTTTTGTCCAAACTGCAACGTGCCAAAACTCGAGCTCTGCAATATTGCAGCCCCGAAATCGAGGCACCCTTCTCGGCGGCATAAGCGCCACCACCCAACAACAACAACAACAGCAACAGCAGCAACAGCATCCCCTGCATAGATCACTGAAGCCGTGCCCATATGACAGCCGAACCAGCAAGCCCCCTGGCACGCTCAAAAACTGCAGGGAGCCGGGCGTAAGCCGGCATGGCGGCACCCGACTGCTGGATCTTGGCAGTCGCGACTATTTCACACTCCGGGGGTAAAGGGCTTACGGCTTACGGGGCTTGGGGCTTAGGGCAAGGGGCCACAATTTAGAGTGCTCACCCATGGCTTCTTGGTCTTGAACAGGGGCGTTGATCTGCATGTTTGGAGCATGCGCCTCCAGCCTGAAGGCCCTCTATACAGCACCCATCGAAAAAAGTTATTGAAGTCGCCTCCGTGATGCCGGCGATTGAATCGATATCTACATCCAGTTCTTTCCATGATGTATCCCGTAGGCCCCCTTTGCACCCCAAATTCTGACTCCTAAATCGGTAAGCCTACACCCCAGATCCGAAACCCTACGCCCCAAATCCGAAACCCGCAAGTGCTTAGAGCCTTTCGGCCCCCAAAGCGCCCCAGGCCGGTGGTTCCAAACGTCCGGGTGCCCGGGCCACCATGACCTCGGGGCTCGCCAAGCAGTCCACTGAGCTGTTGTAGCGATGCCTGGGTGCTTCGAGCTGGGAATCCGAGTTCGAGGCTTAGTGGGCATTGGGCTTGTGGTTTCAGGGTGAGGAGCTCGGGGCCTCTGACTTTACATCCAGAGTTCTGCATTCTGGATGATGGAAAAGAGCGGCGAGATCGCGGCCTCTCAGGGCACTGCAGCACAGCATGCTGCCCAAAGTGAATCTCCACGGCAAAACCACGTCTGAGGTGAACACAGCGGATTTTCTTAGCACCATCACCACGAAGCCTAACGTACCACTGCACTTAGACCATCCAGGCCCCCAGACGGCGGCTTGTGCCTGAAGGGGAGGACGCCCTGCACTGGCGGTTGTGGAGCTTCAGCTGCTTTCTGGGGACGTGTGGCGTAGAGGGTTCGAGTGTCTTGCTTAGGACGAAGCTGCTCATGTTTGTGATGGAGACGAAGACCCACAGGGGGAGGGGGAGCTGGGTTCCCACACCCTCTTCGCTAAGCTGAACCCCAAACCCGAAATGCCAAACCCTGAAGAAGCAACGCCTCCCCAAACCCTAAGCCCTAAGCACTGCACGCCTTGTGTGCCGGATCACCGAGGCAGGAGATGCCCATGATGAGTAGGCACATGAGCATCCTCTCAAGGGCTTTTCTTAAAGCACCTTTTTCCGCCTAGCAGTTAAGGTCGGCAGAATCCGAAAGGGGTTTAGGGTTTAGGGGGCTCTGTCTTAAGGGTCTATTCTCACAGTCTGCGACACGCATGTGCGGCACGATAAGGATTTGAGGGCTCCTTGGTAGGCTTGCTCTGGGCTTAAGGCTCTTAGGACTGCTCGCTGCCTTTTGGGGACTCCCCGGCTTTTGTATCATAGAGTTCTCCTTAGGACTGAGGTTTACGTACCCTTCGTTCTGGTCGCACTTTAGGCCTTTGTCATCGTTTTTTTGAGTGGCGACATGCGCGGGCAAACAGCGATCTCCCCTCTCCCCCTTCGGATAGCTTGGGGCTGTTTTTTTAGCTTCCGGAGCAGAAGTTTCACATAGCAACCGCAGGTACACTCCCCCAATTCATCTAGAGGTCCCCCCTGCGAACAGCCCGACAGCCATGCAAAGACCAAAGCTGGCCCAAGGGCACAGGCTCCGATCCTCCGCGTGCCATCTGCGTTGGGGGCACCGCAGAAGCCCCCGTCGGCCACGTACTTGGCGTCCCGGGCCTTGGCAGTTTCGAGCGACTTCGGGTGAAGGTTTTCAGGGTTTAGGGGTTTGGGTAAGGGACTCGGAGAGAAGCTTTGAGAAGCATACATGGCTCTCATAGTATGGCAAACAATACCCAATACCCGAAACGCCCGAAACAGCACCGTGACAGTCTCTTGATCCGCGTAAGTACTGCGAAGCCTGACATGTCCAACTCCACATACTGGGAACTGCAACCGTCGAATCCCGTTGGTGCCCCCTGAACCAGATATGCGAGAGCTAAGCTCTGTGCGAAGTATGTCCCAGATCCCCACAGCGTTGTGCTGCGAGTTCCTGCCACCAAAGTTGGGAACATGAATCCGGCGGATGATGCTGAGGAGGAGGAGGAGGGTTGACAATGATGGTGCTGATCACGAAGTGCCGATAGTCACAGCATGTCACGGTGATGGAACAGGATGGAGAGGAGGAGCAGAAGAAAGATGGGTACTAGGAAGACGACGGTGTCGACGAGAAGTTCTGCATTCTCGGTTGATTTTGTTTACGTATGATATGTCATGCCATGCCATGCCATCATGCCATGCCATGCCATGCTATGCAATGAAGGCCTTGCGTTACATTGCATTACGCTGCATTGCATTGCAATACATTGCACTGCATTACGTTTTACTTGTACGTACATTCTCGCATGCATGCATACGTACATGTAATATATGTCCTACTGTTACTACTAATGGACAACTACTCCATGGATTTATGTCGTAGCTTTAGAATGCCACACCGCTGCTCTGAAGACTCCTCTGGGTATCCCGATACCATTGGAACACCGCGTCCCTTAAGGAAAGCGGGCGAGGCCGGCCCACAGCCGTAAAAAGACTGGCGGCTCTCGAGAGAGGCCGTTTAGCGTAAGGAGCGACGGAACCCAGCCCCCTGAAAGCACGGATAGCACGGGACGGTCCAGAAGCCAAGGGTTGGAAACCACACACCTGGGCTCAAGCGACGCTGTCTTCTGGTCTCGAGCAGCTGCTTTCGACCGTGCTTACAGAGCTGGGGGCCTACTTGGGAAAGCAAAGTCGATGCTGCGTTTGCATCACCCGCCCATCCGTCAATGCCAGGGCACTGGGTTGTTCACGATCGACCTCGGACGGAGACGACGATGGCTTTGGACGCTCACTCTCGGACAAATCCAGGCGAGGCTTCTGTTTCTGAAGGGCAGGAAACGACATGAAAGGCAAAACAGCTGGATTTCGAGCTTTCCCTTAGGAAGGAAATGATGCTTCAAACACTCAGCTTCCAAGTCAACTAAGCACGTGCCGCGGGACGGGATGTTCAGACATCTTACTTGGCTCGCAGGAGCAGGAGGAGGAGGAGGAGGAGGAGGCGGGTAGCAGCAGTATTTGGACGAAAATTAATTCTTGTTGCCGGTGTAGTGTTGGTGTTGTTGATGCGTTTGTTTTCGTTGATCTTGTCGTTGTAGCTAGAGTTGGCAATGCAACCAGGACAAACAAAAACTATTCAGCTTCGACAGGCAGAATCGATGACATCAGTAGGATTACGTACCAACAAGGACAAGAGCCAACCCTCTGGGCCCCCTTGCTCTAAGGCCTCGTTGTTACAGCCGTGAAAGGCCCAACACCTCGGCACACGGACGACTTCAGAATCAAAGCTTCGAGGTTCTACGACGACTACTACGACGACTACTACGACGACTGCTTCTCCTGCTCCTGTCACTGCTACTGCAGCACTGCCGCCAAAACTACCACTGCCTTGTTTCTTCTCCACCCTCGCTGTGGTATATGACCTTGATTATTTCTTGTTGTGACAGACGAGAACCTTTCTCTTAAGCTCGGCTCTGTGCGTGGCCCAGCGTAGCTCGGAAGCTCCAAAGCCGCAAGCGATTACAGGGCAACTCCTCAAAAAGGTACTCTCTCGTGTCTGATTAGCAGCCTCAGCTCAGGTCTCAAACTTCTCAAAAACCCTTGAGACTGTGGGAGTTCTTCCCGGAGAGCTGGGGCTCCGGCGTGTGAGTGCCGGGCTCGAACTCAACCCCCTGGTCTTCCAAAGACCTCTCCACTGTCACTGAGCAGCCGTGACCACATGGGAATTAACGAGCAATCTGAAGAGGCAGAAGAATGTCGCCTCCTGCCCCCCACGAAAACATGAAACTGACTCTGATTGAATGCTCATCCGCCAGTCACACTTCAAAGTCTCCTGGGCTCTGGAGATTTCTTTGGCCCGAAATTGGTCCCTATAATCCGCTGTGATAGTGCCCTAAATGTCCCCTTATGTAGTAGTCCCTTCTACCCCCCATGATCACCCCGTAAGGCCCGAACCGCAGGAGAGACTTGTAGTAGGGTTTCCAGGACGCATCGCCCTGTGGACCATTTTCCACGCGCTGGATCTGAGCGGGAGTGCTGGGGCGAGGTCACCAGGACGTGAGGCATAACATAAACAAACAAGCATGTGTACGATTGTGTATGTGATTGATACGCACACACACACACACACACGCACTTATGTGTAGGCATGCGTGCATCTGAGCATGTGCGTTCTCTCCACGGTACATTTCCCAGGGCCCCCGGGCCCGCAAAGCTCGCACGGGTGCCCAGGTCTCTGGAGGCGAGAGGATGTAGGCCTAGCTCGGCTCGTCCCAAGCGAAGCTCGGGCTTGATGATGCGCAGCTGTCTACGGGCTTCATGAGCTGCAGGTTTACTCTGAAATCCCCGGCAACGTGTACCGGCCTGCTGCTCTATCGGCAGTGCCTGGCGGAGCAATGACAAAAACATCGTCGCACCGTGCGGCCAGGGGGCGAAGCTGACAGTGACAGCACTTGTCCCATCACAGGGGGATGCTCCGAAAGACGCAACCCTGGACCCTGGGAGAACCCCGATAGCGGAGGTCGGGGCCTTAAAAGCGGCATTGACCATCCTGTACTCCTCCGTGCCCATGGGCACATCATGCAGATGCTTTCCACTCTGATGGCCATTTGTAGACCAGAGCCGCATGATCTGCTCGGGGCTGTAGCCTGGTCCATCGCGGGGCATTCCGAAACGGCTACTGCCTGCCAATTCCAGGCTGTGTTCTCGCTTGAAACTTGTATGAACCCACAAACACATAAGCAGGTAACTACGCAAAACAGCAGACAACTCAAACGAATAAAAACATCCGAACAAGAGTACAAAAAGCCAAAAACACGCAAACAAACCAAACAAACAAAAACACACACACACACACGCGCGCGCGCACACACACACACAAGTATGTACATGGATACATAGGGATATATAAAGTTGTTTGTTCATGCATCTCATGATTTATCTAACAAGCTATGCATCTAAATCCACAGCTCCTTAGTTCCTGTTATGTGCATGTCTACTTATGTGTTCGTGCCTGTTTCGAATATCTATGCTTTTGTATTCATTCTACATACATAGGCAGGCTTTCATGTGTACATATATGTGCAGATGTGCGTTGCATGTTGGTACATACATAGATACAGAAATAATACAGCATACATAACATGTATAACATACGTAACACATGTAATCTACATAACAAACCTAATGTACAAAACATAATGTCCATAACATGCAAAAACACGCAGCATAAGTCATTGGCTTACCAGGGATAGCATACACACATATACACGAAATATCATACTGCAGCTTAGCCGCATCACACAATCCCACACCATACCATGCAAACACCAATACATGCATGCAAAACTACCTGCCTGTCATGTGCATTTGTCTATGCAGATGTGTGTACACATTTGGCTGTCTATATAGCCATGCATCTATATATCGAAGTGCACCCACGCCTACATAACTTAACTACATATCTACATCAACATTTCTACATATCTACACACCCCATATACATATGTTGTACATATACACACACGTGCATAGTGTATGCCTGTATATATGCATAGATACATATATACACACAATGCAAGTACATATACATGTAGATATATATATATATACACATATATATATATACATATAGATAAGATATAGATATAGCTATAGATATAGCTATAGATATAGATATAGATATAGATATAGATATAGATATAGATATAGATATAGATATAGATATAGATATATATATATATCGATATCTGCTCCGTATACACGCATACACAAGCCATATGTGTGTATCTATGCCCATATAACTACATACATATTCATATATATATATATACATATGTATATATATATATATACACACACATGTATATACATGTCTATTCCTAGACCGGGTGGCCACCCGCCTAGCCACAGCTCGGCATTGTTTCTCTCCCGAGAGAGCCTCGCACGCTGAGTTACATGGCCCGCATCACTTATATACTGCGGATGTGGGGATTCGGGCAAGCGTGAGGATGAAGGTGGTTTTGGTGAAGCTGACGAGGACGAAAAGAAGGATGGTTAGACTGGTGACGGGATAAATAAAGCCATCATCGTCAGCAGCGCCAGCATGATGTTGACCGTGGCCACGACGATGATGATCGTGAGCCCCGTTGCCATGGTCATAGTCATGATACAGGTCATCAGCATCACCTTCTTCTTCACGTTTATGAGGCTGAGGTGAAGTGGACTGCTGCCGCGGAAGACGACAACGACAACGTCGTCGATGACAAGGACGACGCTTCCTCGAAACCCTCCGCACCCACCTTCTTCTCCGGTTGAACTGCATCGTAGAAGGTACATTACAACATGTTTGGCTGATGTACCCTACCATTTTTGGCGTCACTATGCTACCTTCGGCTTTCTTCGGAAAATTGGACGACTGGAACATCCTGACTCGTGTGAATATGTTATACCGTGCTCCGTCGTGCTATCATTCCTAGTTCCCTACCGTGTCATATAGTAGTTCGCCTGCTCGTGATGTAACCTAGAAACAAAATGGATACTACATCAGCTCTTGTAATTGCAATGATAACACCGAACACCAATGGCGGCAGCAACTCGCAGAATAACAAATGATAAATTTGGATCGCCTGATGACGGCGACAATCACTCAGCGATCTCATTGCTGCTACTAAAGAAATCCCAAGCCCTAAACTCGAAAAAGTTGTAGCTCCAGCAGCTAGCAGCTGCTGCTGGCACTGCTGGCCACGACTTACTGCTCTGTTTTGTACTGGTATTGCGTTTGCAGACCTGGACTCTCAAAGACACCCCACAGCAGCAACATGCATTTAAAACAGAAGCACCCGGCTCGCAAAACAAACCTCCTCGAACTTCACCTCCAAATGTTCAGCGAACTTCACCCCCCAAATTGACGGCCTGGACTTATGTGCTCGAACTATCCGTTGCGCCTCTCTTTCCAGGTCCGGTGAAAGTGCATTTCTGGACCCTCCTTGCCTCGGATGCGGTAGCAGAACAGCCATGAGAATCAAAAACTGAACTCGTCTGGTGGTGGTAGAAGCAGCAGCAGTGCTTGGAGGAGAAGGTGGAGGTACTGCTAGTGCTACTACTACGACTGGTAGGAAGCGGTCGTGGGGGGAAGCGGGGGAAGTTTGAGGCTAAGGCGTGTAGGGCTCGAAGCCGGGGACTTGACGGCACAAGACCAGGTGCATCGCCTGAACTTTCATAACCTACAAACAAGTAAAGTCCATATGCTTTATCGGAGTGACGCTACGAACCCGAAACAGCCAGGAGAGCGGCAGAGGGTCGCATCAATGAGCCGAGGGAGGACGTCGTGGTGGAGCAGAGACTCCTGGTAAGAAGAGCGGCGGAAAGGGGCGCAAGGTGTAGACATTTGAGCCGTTGAGGATCGCGGCAGGGTCATCCCCCGGTTTCACCTCATCGCCCCAGCCCTAGACCCCCCGAAATGCTAATACCCCAACCCCTGATATACAAAACACTACACAAAAACATCCAAACGGCCAGAGCCTGCAAATACCGAGGAATTCGTAAGCTGTACCGTGCGATGTATGCAANNCCCCACCCCCCCCCCAACCCCCCCCCCAAAGACCGGAAGAGCAAACCACAAAAACAGCAGAAACGCACGACAGTAATCCATGCGCTAGCAAAAACATCGCCAGGACCGAAATCAAAACCCTAATCCATTCTACAACCCCCAAAACAACGAACTGTGAAACCAACAAGCATTCCCAGGACCCTACCCTGAACCTGAGACATGTCCTCCTACATGCTCGGCCTAGGCTTCAGGGCTCTCTAAGCACGCCGGGATCAGGCATTCCGTCAAGTAAATGACTTTCGCAATACTCATCTCCACCTGCCTACGCCTCACAGGAGGGCTCCTGGTTGTGGGTGTCGCCTTGCCGCGAGATCTGTCCTGGCCATTGAAACTTCGAATCATCCACAAACTTGACATCTACACCACTAAACTCGAGATTGCAAATGATTTAAAGCCGCATTCTACTATTATCCCAACTCCACGGGCACCGATCCCCATGAATAAGAGGAAATCGCTGGTGACACCCCGAAATCAGATGCTTGGAAACGCCATGCTCACGGCGCCAGTCCTGAGGGCAGCCGCCCGCTGTCTGCGGTCCAGTACAAAAAAGTCTTGTTCTGCCCTCCGGTGTGCATCAAAGCCTCCGGGTGTCAGCTTGGCTTCGTCCTGGTGCCCTCTACCTGCCCTACCTTCCCTTCCCCGAGGTTCCTTTTCGGGGCTTTTCGAAGGCCTAGACAGGGTTCTCCAAGGCTTGTATACAAGTGTCCGAAGAAAGCCCGGATCCGAGACTGGGTTCTTCACCAGGATTTCCTAGCAGTTGCTGTAGAACGCTGTATGTCCCTCTTCTGGTAACTTCAAGATACCATCATAAGGAGGCACTAGTATTTGCTTGGCATTCTGGTAACTTAAGAACCTCTTCAGGAACTTAATGTAAGCTACCATATCTGGCTTTTGCTATAGATCCCTATTATACTAACTTAAGATTCAGTTCGTGTACACGCGCCCAGGAGAAGCACGGCGCTGGTCCGCAACGCGGCAGACCTCGAGATCCGGCCGCTGTACCGGGTAGACCTCCGAAGTTTCTCTGGGCAAAGGGGCTCACAGAGGTTTTTTTTTTAAGGGCCTTTTTCCGTCTGCTAGGTTCTAGCTCGAGAATCTGCACAGCAGAAGGCACACCACAGAGGTTTAGGGTCTAGGGTTTAGGGTTTAGGGTTGGGGTTTAGGGTTTAGGGCTTTCTTGTTTTAGGGTCTCCGTCTTCCCAGGGCTCACCGGGGCTCGTTAGGAGGACTCTGGCATCCAAGTCCCATGTTTCAACATGGGCATCCCGTTGCCAGCCCTTCATTGGCTTGTCAGAGCTATGGGAAACCTGCCACAAACACTGCCGCGGCCATGACATCATCTTGCTTTGTCTACACTCCAGTAGCGCTGCATGTCACAATGCAGGTTCCCGTCGCAGTGGCAGAAGATTGAAATCGCGGAGGAAAACAACACACCTCACCAACCCCTGTCTACAAAGCTTGTTTTCTGAATCGCTGACCTTCCCATTGTCATCAAACATAAAGCTTCACAACCCTCCGGCTTCAGGTCGAGGACTGCTTCTTTGAGTTTCAGGGTACGGTCTCCGACCTCGTCGTTGGAGCCCACGGCCACAACAACGTTGGCCTCCTGACCAAGATGGCCCACGACACAAAAAAACACCCTACCGCCCAAACTCCCAGAAAGACCTACACTCCCTCAAGGGCTAACGTGGAGCCCCACACAGGGGACCCCTCATCACCAAGATCTCTCCTCGGGGATCTGGCGGCACGTCGGATGCCTCCAAGTAGGGAGATTTAGGGGCCTCCGGGAAAGGGCCCCCTTTCCTTGACCAGGTCCTAAGCGGCTGTCCGGCAGAATCTTACACCTCAACTCCCACCAGACCAAGATCATGGAGGGGTCTCTTACATCGCCCCCAGAGGAGGACCCGCTTTATCGGCCTCTAGGGCCGGAGAGCGCCGTCCTTCACCTAACAGAGTCTAACTTTGTAAGTCCCACTATAGTATAAGTACAGGGGGTCGATGATAGCATAACAAAAAGACACGTCCAGAAGAGTATGTCAGTAACAGTATTCATAGTTCCTAACATCGTGGGTGAGCTATGTGGTAACGAATCCATGGCAAAAAGAGTGACTCCTGTTGCCCTTGATCCGGCCCCTCAACCCGAAACCCTAAACCCCCAACCCCTGGCAGACCCCCAGGCCCTGAACTCCAAAACCCTACACCCACTCTTCAGACCACGAGGCGCTAAACCCCACCTCTGTAAACTGGGAGTTAGGATTAGGGGGACCCTCGAAAAATATAGACCCTCTCAACGAGGTCCCGTTTAAGGGAGCCAGAAGGTAGGGTTAAGAAGGGTCCCCTTTCAGGGGTCTCTGTAGAATACTTCCTAGGCTAAGCCCTAAACCCTAAAACCCTAAAGCCTAAACCCTAAAATCCTAAAACCCTAAAACCTTACAACCCTAAACCCTAAAACCCTAAACCCTAAAACCCTAAAACCTAAACCCTAAAATCCTAGAACCCTAAAACCTTAAAACCCTAAAAACCCTAAACCCTCGACTCTCTTGGCCCCCCGGCGCGTTGATGAGCACTGTGGGCCTGGCAGCTCCCAGCTCTCTCGGAGGGTTGGAAGAGGTTTCTTTGGAACGGTTTAGGGTTTTTTGGGTGTTTTTTTCTTTTTTAGGGCTTCGGGAGTTTAGGCCCCAAAAGGGTTATGAAAAGGAAAACCGTGGAGGGCTCTATTTGGGTTCGTACTATGAGGTTTACTACAAGGTTATAAGGCGTACTACGAAGGCTTTTAGAAGGCTTACTGTCCCCGCGGTTCCTCTGTTAAAATGGTAAGTCTTAGAGAAGGCATATGACTTTGAAGACATGGATCTGCTCGAGCCCTTACCACACGCTGCTGCAAGCCTTCAACAGATCAACGAGAAGAAGCCCGTTGAAGAACGCTTCAAGGCCGGAGCCGATTGGCCCAGGCCCTAATTGCTTGTTCATGAAGTCATCACGCACTGTGGAAACCGGCACTGCCCAGTGAATGCGCATCCGGAAAGCTACCGCTCCAAAACTGAAGCCGAAGACAGTCTGCCTATGAACACGCGTATCCACATCCGATGCGTCGAGAGCCCTCTTTGGCGCAGCAGCCTGCGCAAAGCCAGGGGCCCGGGCCCTCTCCAGTAGCCTCTGCGCCAGAGGCCGACTATGTACACGCCGCCTCCGGCAAGGGCCGCAAGGGCAAGGCGGGGACAAGAAAGAAGGCCAGCATAGCCAGAGGAATTTCATGCCACAGCGTTGCCAATGTTTCGACTTCCTTCGGCGGGGGACTTTCGTCGCCTTCTGGCCAGAGACGCATTAGATGCCTGAGGCCTTCCCAAAGTCCTCACTTTTCCCTGAGCCCTAGAAGTCCCAACGTGCTCTCAAGCTCCTGATTGCGTTTGGAAGTCCAGGTCTGACGGATCCAAATTCCAGGCGAAAAGTTCACCCCGCCTTTCGATGCTCCCATGATAACATGGGGCCGAAACCTTGGCACGACGACCATGCGTCCGTTTTGTGGCGCATTTCGGTGTTCTTGGGGTCTCAAAGATGGGCTCCGGGACTGTGCGCCTAAGGCTCTTCGGCTTTGCTTCAAGAGCAGAGATCAGCCTCCAGAATTCTGGCATGGCATGCTTGTAGGTTGAACCGAATGAAGCGCCATGGCCTCGACACCAGAAGCCTTCATGCGATGCCAGAACCAAACCCTCAACAATCAAATGTCACCAATCCAACCAATGATTGCTCTCACAAGTCGCAACACCGGTACCCCCTTCACACTGCGTGCCACTGCCTCTGCGTCTGCTGCTAGACCTACTCTGCCAAAATATTGTAGTGTTCCCCGTCGTTCCTGTTGTTGCTCTTGTTGCAGGCACTGCCACATTCCCTTACACCAGCTCTGGGATTCGAACGCGTCCATCTCCGACTTGAGGCGGTCTGAGACTTGAAAAGACGTGAGAGATGCTTAGGTCTAGGGCTTCGAGTGCAAGGCTTTGCCGTTTCTTCGCACAGGCCTCTATTCTTCGGCGTGACAAGCCCATAATCCCGGCGCCGCACATTGCGTGATGTTAGCTAAGGTTTCCAGCCTGATCCCTGGACTCCAAAGCCTGGACCCTCCTATCAGCAGATCCGAAAAGCCCAGGCCAGAGCCCCACGCAAGCCCTTGCCCTGAACCCCGACATCCCAAACTCCCAAACCCCAAACCCCCTAGGCCCTCAAGATTCCCTCAACCCTCAAAGGAAGGCCCACAAGGCCTAGGTAAGGCTCCACGGGAAAGTTCGGCAGCTCGGGGTTCGGGATGTTAAAGCACCAGCCGATCTGACGGTGTTAGGCTTTAAGGCTTTAGGCTTTCTTCTTCCCTTCGTAGAGGCCTTGGGTTCTAGGGTTGTCTGACGGTTTCAGACTTCTTGGGACGGGCTCTCAGGGTTTCGGGCTTCGGGTTTAGGGTTTAGGGTGGGGTTCAGGGGTTCGACTCTCACACTCTCGCTGGCAGTTTGGGGCTTTGGGGTTGCGGTTCTTTTTTCGACTGCGAGTAGCTGACATAATCCCAATTCGGCAGAAAGCTGGTTGCCTGGTTGCAGACACGTTGAGATGATCCAACATCCACCAACCCTGAATCCCATATGTATGTCTATGTGTATGTGTATGTGTACGTGTACGTGTGCGTGTACGTGTACGTGTATGTGTATGTGTATGTATACATACACATACACATACACACGTGCACCCACCAAACCCGAACGGCATGAATCATACTGGTCGTATTAGGGTTTCTATGCCCTGCAATCACTTTCTAAAGGAAGAACTCAAGAGATTGAAGCCAAGCACGTATTGGTTGCTCAAGGATTCAGGAGCGCTGCTAACAAACCACGTGAAATCCATAGTGGATTGCCCTGATCTAAGGAACTAGGAATCATTAAAAATTACAATTTACCATCCGAGGTCGGACTGAGCACTTCATGCCGCCGCCAGCACGTCAAAGAAGTGAAGCCAAGGCCACTTTGGTAGCTGAAGACATTTCTTCGAACCCCGAAACCCGAAACCTTCAAATGCGAAAGCTTCCCGACAGGCTGATGCACCTGATAGCCCGCCGACTCAACCATGCGGCTTTGCCGCGGGTTGAGCCTCGACCCATCTTGAGGTGTATTAAGACTGGGGGCGCAGGGTGTCCTACTGTTTAGTCTAACGATGAGCCCCCTTCCTATATTCCGAACTTCCATCTTCAGCCTGGTACTTCTAAGGCCATCTTCCCAGGTTTCCCGCAAATGCCATTCACTCCGCGGTGGAGGTTTTTGGTCGGCCCTTTTCTCTCCGCTTCAATCGGAGCAGAGGGTTTGGGGTCTAGACTGTTTTAGACTGCTTCTGCAAGCGACATCTGCATCCTTCCAGCTCGGGGCGCCGACTGGTTGCCGAAGCCGGGACCGATGATGAAGACGCGTGTGGTCTGGCGGGTGAGGAGATCGAACAATGGTAAATGTGCTACAGGATAGGCAGTATAACGACAAATACTGTATACACACACATACTTACATAGATATCTATATATATATATATATGTAACCTATAATATACAATACATAGGGTAAAATATCTACTATCTCAGATTCAATATCTAATATCTGATATCTAATATCTACTATGTATTATCTATATTATCTAATATACCATATGTAAGATGTTGTATATAAATATACACACATATTTCGTGTATAGTTCAAGAGATATGAAGTAGATTTATCTAGTATGACGATGATGATGATGATGGTGATGATGGTGATGATGGTGATGATGAAGTGGATGGTGATTTCCTCATCATCGCTGTCCACATCAACTCGCCCTCGGAAAGAAAACCGGACGCTGCATTCTGGGAGCCCGGACAGTGCGGTTCAAGTTGCTTGGAGGCCGCGGTGTTGCGGCCACAACGGCCTGGCAGGGCTTGTGAACGGTGAGAACATCGATTGAACAAAAACAGAACCATCGCCGCTATCATCATCGTCGTCATCATCATCATCACCATCATCATCACCGATATCGACATCATCAGTGTCAATATCGGTATCATGACCCATAATACTATTCCCGTCGCCTGATTTTGTTAAACACTGTGGTGTCCACATTCGCTTCGTTGTCCGGCTCATGTTGTCGTGGTTGCTCTTGCTGTTGTATTTCTTGCTGCTGTTCCTAATATGACAGCTGTTGTTATTTCTGTCGTGCTTGCTTCATTTCCTCTCGTGCCATGGTTCGCTGCTCGTCTTTCTCCCTGTTGATGCGGCTCGTTCATTGCTGCTGACATTGCAGCTCTTCCTAGTGACTCTGCCGTATTGTGTTTGCTGTCTTCATGTTGTTGATGCTAGTGCCGCTATTGTCTATGTCACAGTGATGCTGATGGCACTGTTGCCATGGTGCTGCGTAGCTGCTAGCTGCTGCTGCCTATTGCCGTTGCTGCTCCGGTTGCTGTGGGCCTAAACATATCGGGGTAAGACGCACACCTTGCGGAAGTACTTCTCGAAGTCGTAGTACGTGAATCGCCTGACGGTCCCCAGCTTTCCTTCGGATCCAAGACCCCTCTTCAAGAGTAGCAGGTTGGGCCCTCGGTAGCAGCAAACAGTTGTGCTTGCGCTACTACTTGCGGCCAAGAGTCTTTTTGCCCCCGGCAATGGCCTCCCAGGCACTTGTGGGCAAGAAGAAAGGCTGGGCCACCACTGCTGCCACTACCACTACCACTAGCACCACTGCTACTCTTACTGCAAATGCTGCGATGCCTCGTATTAACGATCACAGCAGCACAGGCAACAGCAAGACATACGAGAGCACCGGCCGCAGCAAGAGCAAGCAAAGGAGTAAGGCTCAAGCCAGAACATGAGCCGCATAGTATAGTAAAGCACAGTATAGCCTAGTCTAGCATCCCCCGTGTAGCATAGCATAGTATAGTATATCGTATCATAGTAGAGTAGAGTATAGCATAGCGTCGCATAGTGCAGCTTTGTTTTAATAATATTGTACTCTGTTGTAGTACGGCAAAGGGAGCCTCGTGGGCTCAAAGCTCAAGGCTCGTTTTGGCACACCGCAGAGCTCCGGCCACTTACCAGTCCCCTGCATGGTGCCTCGTCTCTTTTGGAGGCTTCGGGGGTGAAAAGCTCGGGGAGGTCCGCAGCAGGACTTGGGTGCAAGGCGAAGGGGTTCGGGAGGCAGTTTCGCGTGTGATTGCAAGCTAGCAGCTCGCTAAGACAAAACCCTCAAGTTTAGGCAGGTCGAAACTGGATACTCCAGCAGCATGATGACTTTCATAAGGCTGACGGGTCCTAGGTTGCCTTATACATCGGCCCCACTGCAAGGAGCACAAAGATGCTTTCAGCCTAGAAAGGTTCGGGTCTCTCCTCTTCGCGGCATCTCCCCGGGCCAGAACCGTGGCAGAGTATCAGAGAGAACTTGCGTGTCGGTTTAGGCTTTAGGGTGTCCTGGGCCTTCATCTTCGAAGACAGCTACCACCATCTTGACATTCTGACTTCCACGAGCATCATGGTTCGCTCACTCAGTAGCGGTCGACGCTACCATGGTAATCGCAGCAGTGGAACTGGATGGGACTGGTAGGTCCTGCAGGGTAGCAATTGCAAGTTGTATGTAGTGGGTGGAAGGCTGTAGTTGTTGCTGTGCTGTTGTCGTGGCCACCAGAACCGCACGGAGGGGGCCGCGTCCTTTACACACGGAAGTCATCTTTGAAGCTAAATCGGCCAAAGGGCCTCTGCCCGCCCGGCAGCAGCATATGTGCCACGGGGCGGGGGGCGGTGCCCGGAAACAGCTTCCGCACTGGGAGCTGCAAAGACTCTTTCGGAGTGCTTCCTTCCAGTCTAACCCAGAATTCCTGGAGTGACGGCTATGTTTCTAAATGAAGAAATGGAACTGAGCAGTCCCCACTGCAGGCTTGATGGATTTCGTTTAGGGTGGTGCCGGTTCCCTCAACAGGGCTGGCATGTGGCAAATTCCTTTACCAATCCGCATTGAGGGATTCACGGGCTTTGCTTCGTCCCAAAGACCGGACAAGGGCCCACATCATGGTGTAGTCAGCATGACTACACTCAATCAGGGGAGCCGTTTAAAAGGGAGAGTCTTCACGCCCGAGGATCTAGTAAGAGGATTCGGTGCAGGCTGCACCCTGCCGGGTCGACGCTTTCGTCAAGGCCCACGGCGCACAGGCACAGCTTCAAAATAATGGAAGTAGTATCAGCCGAACCTGGGCGTGTGGGGTCACGGGCACATGTGGCGATGAGTGGGCAGTTGGGAGGGTCAATTTTCAGTGACCAACACCACAACAACACGCAAAACAAAAGCCTACAGAACCAAAGAGTCTTGCCCCCTATACAGTCTCCCAAGCCTGTGGGAAAACCATCAAAACCCCATGAAGCCCGAACCCTGGGCAATAGACCTTGACAGAATCCTAGGCATAGCAATTGCGACGGCCATACACCCGAAGCAACAGCTGTAGCAATGACGGTAGTACAACCAGAAATGTGTGTGTGTGTGTTGTGAGAGTGTGAGAGTGTGAGAGTGTGAGAGTGTGAGAGTGTGAGTGTGTGTGTGTGTGTGGGTGTGCGTGGGTGTGGGTGTGGGTGTGGGTGTGGGTGTGGGTGTGGGTGTGGGTGTGGGTGTGGGTGTGGGTGTGGGTGTGGGTGCGGGTGCGGGTGTGGGTGCGCGCGTGCGTTTGCGTGCGTGCGCGTGCGCGTGCGTGCGTGTGTGCGCGTGTGTGCGCACGTGTGTGTTCTCCCGTGTGTGTGCTCTCGCTCCTCTTCCGCAGCCGTCTTGCCTGACGACGACGACTCGGACCCCACCTTTCCTTAACATGGCTCAAGACGCTTCGGCGCCACCGGCTGGCGCATTCGCTCAAGAACAGGGCAAATAACCCCAATCACCAGGCTCCGTCTCCGCAATGCTTCAAGCGCTCCATAGCATTGGCATTGACACTAGCATCTAAGCTCCTGTGGGGTTTTTTAGGATGCTCCATGAAAACCCAAATAAGCTTAGACAGCTTCCGCAGCATGTGCCTGCGCCCGACTATGATCGGCGCGCACGGCGCCCGGGGACACAGATGCTCCCAGTGTGGGGACTCATCGGCGGTGGTCGGCGCTCATCCAGTTTCCCCCGACGGAGCGGCGGTTGTCAAGATGCCCCCGCTCCACTTCGTATTCATATGCGGCGGCGCCGGCAGAGCCCTCCCAACCACTCGAGAGGTGAAGAAGCGGCTGTAGAGAGAAGATGTAGGCAACTACAACCATTGCAGTGTTACGGATCCAGCATACAAAAATGTGTCTGAGCCGACCGGACGGCTCTGCGGACACAGCACGAACTTTGCGGCGGATACCTGGGTTGGCCTGTGTCATGCCGCACCCTGCCATGTATGTCGGAAAGACTGTTGCTAAGCCCGGCACCTTCGCATCTATCTTTGGCCAGAGGCAGACTGAGGTTTTCAAGATCCTCGCTGATGTTCTCACCAAAAATTTCGGAAAGGCTCAGGTTCATTACCTCCCAGCTGCCACTGCAATCAGGAGGTTCAACACCTGCCACGGAGGCAGTGGCCTACTCGTCCAATCAAAGGTTAGAAGTCAAAGATGCATGCATCGTAGGTAGCACAGACATGGCCGCCTTCCACGAGAGTTGTCACAGTTGGCAGGCCACGGTAGATTTGAGAGTTGACCGTCATGGTGAGAATATCAAAGCAGCCTTCTAAACCTAAGCAAAAAATTCAGATCAGACTTCAACTCCAACCGAATACAGTCCAGCCAGTTTGGTAAGTCTGTACCTACCAAAAACGTCAAAACACTCGCAGGAATGCTCTCAGCCAGGTCGCTGTTAAGAGCCTCCACACAGAAACGCCCTCCATCTGCCTCGACCATGGTACCTCAGAAAACCAGGAAGGCCCTATCCTGTGGTGACACGACTAGCATGGGCAGACGTCCGATCCCTCAACAATGTCCGTGCTGACAACAGATTGCCAAGTGGCTAAACTCGAAGGATTGACTTGCAAACTCCGGCACCGTGTTGTTCTGGCATGCGGCGAGAGCCCACCCACCTGAAAGTCCAGCCACTTCAGCCACCGGTCCGGTGACCTAGGTGCAGCTTTGTTTTGATGTAGCCCGGTTTGTCCTGTGACTATGCCCTTCCATTTCAACAGGGCCGTTTTCACAGATGCCATGGAGCAAAGGCGCCCAAGTCAGGCACTCGTCCGGCAAATGTGCCGCACGCAGGGTGCAGCCGGCACACTCCAGCTGGTCCACGCTGGTGCCGTTGGACCCCACAACGAGGAAAAGGTCACAAGGGACAGAAGACAAGGTTTGTGTGATCCATGTGTCTGGCTCGGCCGCTCTCAGGCAGGTCCGATCCAAATCAGTGGCAGTCGTTGCAGACGCCAGGGCAACTCCGGATGGCGCAACAGGTCGTAGATCATGCACCTTGATGCGCGGCGGCGTGACCTCGGTCTTGAATGGCTCAGGAAGCCCGCAAAACTCGATGGCGAATGTGAGATGATGGGGATGGGGTTCCAACTGAGGCCCTGGCTGAATCTTCGAAGACATTCAGCCTCTCTGGCATCTCTACCGAGGCTGGAGGGAGTATCGTCTCCGTGAGCTGCACCACGACGGCAATGCTCGTTTCCGCAGCTGGAGCTTCTCTGTTCGCCGCCTGGATTGGACGACCCTGCACGAAGATCTGCAGGCGGTCCATTCCAGTAAAGCCATCCGCATGCACATAAGTAACATTTGCCAGGAAGTCCTTCAGGGTTCGAGAAATTAACAGGCAAGAAATCATGCTAAACGGTTTGCTGCACTGTCACCTGTAATTCGGATGTGTTGCCAGAGAATTCCAGCGATGATCCCAGCACCTGGCAGGTTCAGAGAAGCGCTGCACACAGCTGCTTTTCCGAAATGCCCCCGGACACACAATACCACGCGGTGCGACCTCCATCCGCCCAGCAAACGACCACAAAGCAAAGCCACCGTGCCCGCAAGTCACCAACCTTGGCAATGTATTATCCAGACAAGCTTGTCACAGAGAATCACAAAGATGCCTAAAGCTTCGCGGTTGCACACATTGCCAGCAGCTCACGTGCCCAGCTCAATCCGCAAGCCCTAATGCAAGCAAGCAACGCACTGAAGACATCATCATCTTGAACCAGGTGGTTCAGCTCTGCAGTCACATTTAACCTCAACACTTCGCCGACGGTCAGTGTTTTCAGCGGCGTGGCTTTGAGCACGACGTCGCCAACTTGTCGGAGCGAGTAGACGGGTATCTCGCCTGTCTGCATGCCCATTCTGACCAGCACCGTGTCCCATCCTGCAGCAAATTCATCCGGGGTGTACTTCAGCTGCTTCAGCGTCTGCTTCATCTGCTGTGCTGCACCTCATGCACACATGCTCGAAAACGCGGAAACTGGCACAGGATGCGTTTGACCCACCTTTACTGGAGGAACAGGTGACTTGTCTTAAGTCTTGGCCGATCCCACCCAAAACCCAGTCCATTTCAGCAAGGCACCTCGCAGCAAGAGGCTCCTTCCGCTCCATTGGACGCGGTCTGGACGAATTGGACCTGCAGCACTTCGCTGGTGCGCTTGGGAGGAGCCACCAGGTACCAGAAAACTGGCATGGGTGAAACGTCAACGCACACACTCCATGTGCTCAAAACGGCTGGGCGTGCATCATGACAGCTGCTGTGCAACGACCCAGGAACCACTTTGGCCTTCTGTTTCCGAGAGGTTGAGATTCCACGGGTCCGTCGGTCGAGATGGATCCACGTAAGGCAATCGGGATTGGTCGTCCGGCGCTGGGTTGCCTTAGTTGCAGGCCGGCCCTGAATTGAATTACAGGATCGGTAATCCGAAACTGCACTGACGACGCCCTCTTGCTAGGCTAAGCCCTCATTTAGAACATGACTGCTACTACCCGCCTGGCAATACACAACCAACTCTCGATGTGTTGCACGTTAGAGTTGAAGGCTGAATTCTGGCCGCAAACCGGGGGAGATGCTTGTTCAGAGGAATAATCCCACGAGATTGGCATTCAAGACCCTTCCCGGTCAAAGACATTCCCTAGAGGTGACTTCAGCAAGGAACTTGGCACAGCCTGCATCAAGGTACGAGCCATCCACACGCCCTTGAAAGCAAACACGACCCAGCGGCCGCGAGCCAAAACCAAACGGGATTGAGGAATGATGGAGGGGTTAAGTTTCCTGTTTCTGGACATAGATTGTCACAGACAGATTGAGACAAACAAAGGAACTAGAAAAAACTTGACTGTCTGCTTCTGAAAAGGAACCCACCTGCATATTATCATGCGGCATATACGTATAGGTTTCACAAATGATAGCCCTCTTGCTTACCCTGTTCATTGACGGTCATTTTCTTGGCCTGCCGTTAAACCAGAAAGGGCGGCCCATGTTGAGAAACCCAGAAAGACTGGAGGCGGCACCACATGCAGGCCTACTAGATGCATCCTAGCGACGAAAGGCTGTTATATTCATCCGAGCACCGACTGAAGCCCACACGTCCTCACAACTTCAACAAGGCACAACACGAGATGTGCGGCGGGCAACCTCAGCTAAGATCGTCCTGGTCTTCCGCAGTTGCACTGGCGGCCCCTCCCTTGGCATCTGCGAGAAAGGCGCTGCCGCCAACGAGATTTGCCTGCAAAGACCGTTCAAAGACTTCCAGAGAGGACCGGAAACTTGCTGCAACGAGTATGTTTCAACACTTCAACTCAAGGCAGGTGACCACGTCTATCTCCAGGATTCCGTGAAGGGCGGACAGACGGACTTCAACATCACCTGTCCAGTAGGCTGAATTCGACTTTCACACTGATATTCGATAAGCAAGTGGATGTGCGCAGGCCGCCGTGCAGCCAAGGAACTTTGCACAGCTGCCAAACCCAAAGGTTCGTTGGGATCTGCACTCTGCAGGGAGATGTAGTCCACCAGCTCAGTGGCCTCGCCTGCTTCCGCCAAGACACCGGCACTCAGCACGCGCAAAAGGGGCTCGGCTTGGGCAAGTCGGCTGGTTTGAACCAATACCTGTGTGGAAACCTGCACAATCAGGTTACCCTCGGCGGTCTTGGTCTCCTCGCCAACTCTGCCGAGGGCGTCTGGATCCCAGGCTTTGAGAATTATCTGGTCCGCATCGCATGAGGAACACCTGACTTCCAGCTGCAAGCCTTCCACGTACTTCTGCAGGAAAGGTGCGCTTCCCGCTACCTGGTGCACTCCATGCCACTGCAGTTCGTTGTTGAAGAAAACGCAGGAGTTGCAAAGGAGTTGTAACACCATGCGCCGGGGGTAGTGCAACTCCACCCCCAGCATCTGAAAACTGAGTCGATTGCCACGTTGGACCTCAAGCTCCTTTGATCTGACCCGCATGATCGGCACTGAGGGCTCGCAATCAATTTCCAGTTGCAGCACCCGCTGATCTCGAAGGATTCCTGCATCTTCATCCTTCAGTTGCAGTGTCGGGAGGGCATAGACCGCTATCTCGATTGGGACGACCATGGGCAGGTGCTCCAACTCAGCTTCCGATATCATGTAGCGCATCCTGCCAAGCACTGCTGCCGCATCCTCCGCACTCCTTGGCTGGGACTTCGACTTTTAGCTGTGCAAATGCATTCACTGGCCTCGTCTCCATCTCATTAGATACGCTCTAAATTGCTGGCTCGCTGAAGCGGTGGTGCGACTACATGCGAGCTTTGCAGTTCGCTGGCCGTATCTCTTGCTTGGCACAGGTTGCCAAGCAAGCCTAGCTACCCCTGTGAGTGCGTGGTTTGTGTGTGTGACGTTTCTCTTTGCCCCTCCCTATGCCAGTTGAAGCTGGCTCTCCCGTGTTTTCCTCCGAAGCGCATGGAAGGTGGGAAGCCACCTTCCACAACGTGAGTTGATAAATTTTGCCCAATGAGCAGCCCATTGTGTGCTCTGACCGCTCTGGCCCTTGTCTTTCACCTCCACGGGCGCGGAACTGTCAGCACAACCAAGCGGCTCTGCGAGAAGGCGATAGGACGCCCCCCGGTCGCTCCCACGTCGACTCCACTGCACAGCGAGGCGCCGGGGTGGCAGCAGTGGCGGGTCCAGCTCGCCTCCAACCGTAGCCGTAGCCGTTCACTGATCTCAAACTAAACATCTGGTTTGAATCTATCTAATCGCCAAACCTTGCTCTCTCACCCTCCTTGCCTACGGCCACGTGAAGGAGCACCAGGCAAGCGGCGCGTGGCACGGCGGCGATGAGTCCAACGGACGGCACATCCAGCTCGAGGCCTCAGTGCATCAAAGGCTACGGACTATGAAATTTAAATCATCGCGACCCGGACCTGCCGTCATTGCTATCACGTTACCAAGCAAGGCATCCTGACGACGAGCACCCAAACGGCCTGACAGCGGAGACAGCGCATCTTCATATCATTTGTGCAGGGCACTTGCTCCGCGAAGTATGGCCTGAGAGCAAGTACGTCGCGTTGGGCGTCGGCATGTCAAGCTGTAGTTGTGGCAGGCTCTCCTTCCTGCATTAGACATCATCGTCCTAAACCGGCAGCCCTCGGCAAGAGCCTCCACCCCCGTTAGCCTTGCGCGACTGTGAGTGTCTTAAGCCGGGCGTCCTCTCGGTCGAAACATGAATTGGACAGGTGGAGGTCGACTTCAGCCCAGACCGGGCATCCAAAACCTTCAAGGACACAACTCGACACGCTGACAGCCGGATGGTCGGATCGGATCCTGGGCCTCTACGGTAAGTTGTCCCGCAGTACGCGTCTCCGTTTCTGGTACGAAGAGCAAAGCCAACTTCGTCGCCAGGCCCTGCTGCAAGGTGCCCCCGGGACCGCTCGCCTCGGCGCGCACAAACCGGATGCCTCCACCAGTGAGAGACTGAGGAGGAGGAAGGGATGAACGACATGCAGACAAAGGCCTTCGACATCGACAACCACAACGACCAGTACAATCATGAAAATGCCGGCCATACAGAGATGCTTTCAATAGGCTTGGCGGGATGAGCATGCTCCAACAGAGACAAGTCGATTGCTTTGCGTAGGGCAGGCCGACTGAGATTCTGCCAGGGTCATCCTATGGGACGACTGTCATGGGAGGCGGATATGTGAAGTCGACCCTCCGATTCCACTCTGTCTGCCGAAGCACCACAATCTGGGAGGAAACATTGTGCATCGGCATCACATCGAGGCTATGGTCGAAGTAAAGACCTCCACTGAAATCATTCGAGGAGAAGTCAGAGAGAGCTCGGGACCCTACCTGCCACAGGCCAGAATGCCAGTTGACCAATGTCAGTGCTGAGCATCACCTGTGCCACAGCGGGTATCTCCCCGTACTCCTCGGCTGCTGGGTGGGGGGAGGGGTGCGAGCCTTGAAACCCCAAAAACCCAAACGTGGAAACAGGGCGAGAAGCGACGGAACAATTCAAAGCCCGTCGAATGTGCAACACTCAGGCAAGTAAGGCCTCTTTTGAAGCCAGCACGGTTCTTGCCTCAAAGGCACATTCCGCTCCATGTGGCATGGGGGAACTGCCGAGGGCTCCAGCGCTCGCTCCACCTGCAGGCAGTGTATGGGATGGCATGTCAACCGCTTGCCACGCAGTTGGTTCTGCGCATGCTCCCATACTCCGCACGGAATTACCTCCAGCACGACTCCATCACAGCACCGGATGCGTGGAGGAGAGAAGCCCTTCACTATGTTCAAGGCCACCTCCTTGTTGCATCCATGCATTGTAAGTTATAGTTTATACTAGCTTTCACGACATCAACTTCAGGAAATGACCCTCGGCTTCTGCAAACCTTCTCACCGTGCGGCTTCTCTCACTTCCTGAAATGAGCCTAGCATCCAGAGTGACTTCCGAACAGCTGCCAGTGACGCGCATCAAGTCCTGACCCGCATAACCCACGGGAGGCGTGTAGACGATTGACTCCATGGTTAGCGCGGCTTGCTCGATGGTGCCATAGATCACCCAGGCATCGACCTCATCCTGCTTGCAGCCGCCCACATCCGGATAGAATGGCGGACAAATTCGAGCAGCTGGGTACTTGTTCACGTCAAGGCCAATGAGCCCGAATCGTACCGAAACACGGAACTCATACAGGGTCTCCGCGACTTCATTCGCTACCTTCGTCGAAGCTGAAAACTCTGGCCTCACTGTCACGCCCAAGTTCCTCGCATCCTCACCAGGATTTACGAACGTGGCCGCTGGGCCCCCGATGAAGCAGGGGTATTCAGACTTCGTCAGCGGCTCAATTTCCACATTTAAGTGCTTTTCTGCGAGCGCGGCATTCATCTGCAGCATGTCTGGGTCATGTACTTCAAGCTCAGCTGAGGAAGGCGTTTGGTGGACTGTGATGCTCAGAGACCCTGAACTGGGCGAGTCGGCCGGAGGTGTAAATTGCATCATTGAGAGCACGCGATTGACAGACGCAAGTGTGCCTGCAATGGTGTATCCGTCTCCAACGGACGATTCGTACATTGAGATGCTTGGCCAAACACCATCCCTCGCCTGAACATTCGGCCTGGCTTCCGCCTCGCTCGGTGCATCGAAGTCGTTATTTGTAAAGAACTCGGTCAGTCCGGGAGAAATCTCATCCATGATGGTGTCCAGTGCAGGAAAACTCAGATCACCGAAAGGCGACTCCACGTACACTCGCGCGTGGTCCTCGGAAGCAGGACTTAAGAAGCCTACGAGCGACCAGCTGCAGCTACAAGTATTGCTCGGCTCCAGCCTCAGCACCAAGGTCCACATGACGAATACTGGCATTCACATGGTGTGGCTGGTTTGCCATCGCTCGCTCTTCGATGCCGTTGTAGACGTCGATTTTAGGTAAGTCGGGCTGAGGCCGGACTTCCTTGGTGAAACGGCGAGTCTCAACAGCTTCCCATGCTCGCGAAGATGACCCTGCCATGCCCTACCGATGCTGACTCTAGATGGTGATCTCGTCTGAGCAGCCACAAGCCAGGAGGATTCGTGTGTCGTAGTGTCGACATCTGACCTAAGAGAATCCGCCTCACCTCACCAACGTCTCTGCAATGTGCCCCCGCAAACTCTCGAAACAGCCAAGCAGCACAACACTTGGACTCATGGTGGTCTCGAAACGGAAATAGATCATGTCCTCACCCCAAAACTCTGGCACCGGAACATAGCTGACCTGCGTCGGACTCCCGCACAAGAAGCCACATGCCACATGCAGCGATCTCAAACGACATCCTGCCCGCCTGTCGAACGTCCAGCAACTGCAGCAGATCCTGTACAGAATCCATCCGCACCTCGTCGGGGGGGGCTCCCAGCCGACCCTTGACCCGCATCCTAACGAACGCCAGAATGGCCTCCAAGAACGACTTGCTGCCGTTGACTTGCATTCCTGCTGTGCCCTCTGCGGAGATGTTGCCAAGCCTTGCTAGTCCCTACGGACACAAGAGGGGGGAGGTGCCACTGGCTCATCCCGGTGTCGACGATAATTTATCCTAACATGCTAGGTGCAGGCTGTGGAGCTCGGCAGAAGCCGTGAAATGGAACGGGCTTGGAGACTTCCCCTCGATGTAGAAGCGCTCGGCCAAGGGAAGCACGCCATCCTTCTGTTGCTGAAGCTGCTTCGGACAAAAATCTACAGCAGCGACTAGAGTTCCAGTAGTGGCTCGCCGTGAGTTGAAACTGTCTACGTTCCAGACACAGCAAAAGCCAACCTACCACAAGGGCTGGGTTTCTGATATGTGGCGGGGCACCTCATCCACAGCCAAGGACGACCCCCTCAGCGCTACCTTACATAGATGCGGGTTCAGGCTCACTTTGAAGTGCACGACACGCCTCGCACAAGCCAGGGATGCTTGCGCCAGGGTGCAAACATCGACAAGGGGGCGGAGACCGTCATGAGGCAGCTCGACTCGGCCACCTCCACAACTTCCGGCGCTTGCTGATTCCTGAACAGCACACGCACAACTCTTCGTTCTGAACTACGACTCTCTTTGCCGTTCCGCCTGCGCTCCACTGCCACGTAGATGGTCTGACTGCACTCGAACCGACTGTTGACCGGACAACCGCAAGGATGGAAGATCAAAGAGTGTTGCAAATGATGCCGCCTCAGCGCAATCAAAGCCATCTCATGCATAGCAGACTCAGCAAGAGCATCCCAGGCCCCACATGAGTTGAAACAGAATTTCGTCCAAGTATCAGTAGCTTGAAACTGGGCGTGCGGAGATGCAGGATTTTGTAGCCCCTTTCTGTCGACTCCCAAGACTCAACCTGCTCTGCCGAGTGCTCGGGCATGTCTGGAGCACAGGATCCGCCAAGGCCACCTTGCACTGGCCGAGATGCGCAGTCCTGACAGGAAGCGCACGTCCCGCCCGGTACGGAGGCTGTGCTTTCAGCACTTAACCTTGGGAAGGGAGAAACACGGCTGAACGGTCCCACAGTGGAGCTCTCCTCGAAGAGGACAGCAGCACAGGCCAGGGGATCCACAACGAAGGTCGTCCTTGCGGTGCACGCATGGTGCCTACTGGAGCGAGCCACCACCGACACACAGGCTTTTTGGATCTCTGCTGATCATTGAGGGCTGCAGCCAGGCATCAAATGGTAGACAACCTCGGGTGACATCGCACCTGCCCCATCCTCCACGTTCCAGCCGCAGCCCAAAGAATTCAGGTCGTGCTGAGTGGAAGCTGTGGCTGCAACGGATGCCGTGGCCTGCGAAATGACCTGCAAGTTCTGTCTGCTTCAACATTTGCAAGATCTTTCCGCACACTTGATCCGCATCATGCGGCCTGCAAAGATGTCGGGGGCAGCTGGACATTGATGACTATTCCCTCTTCTCGGACAAACTCCCCATCTCCTTACATATCCGTCGCTGCGGTACAACAAACTCCACAAACGTATATCAGGGAGCTCATCAGCTAGAAGCCATGGGACGGATCAGAACCTTCATGAGAGCAGCTCCTTCAAATTCTTCCGGTGCTGTATAGCTAAGATTGCTGAGTGCTGCTTCGACGGACCTCGAGGACCACACTCTCGGACACTGCAAGCTGAACATGATGGAGGACTGTCGTGGAAAAAAAGGTGCCAGCAAGCTACACCGCCATCCCATAGAAGGAGAGCTTGGAAGCAGGCCGTCCCTCCAAGGTGGTCGGAGTCAGGTCTCCCTGGCCCAAGGAACCTGACAGTGACAGCCACCACCACGTCTACTGATCTCTGCAGAAGCCGCAGCTTGGCGGCCGTAGTCTGGCTGGACCGGCGGAAAGTCGAAGGTGACATTCACACGGCCACCCCAGTCTCGCCAAGCAGATCGAAGGATGCCTCCAAGACCCCAAGAAACAGGTTCAGGCTTGGATTTTCGTCTGACGTTCGTGTTGGTTCATGCTCAGACAAGGCACCAAGAGTCCCAGCCGGTTCAACTGAGACTTCCACAAACAGCTCTCCAAACGAGTCGTCCTGTGTTGCAAGAGAAATTGCAGCACCACAGGCAGCAAGACCAGACGCCGGTCCTGCAGAACGAAAGGGCCCTCGTTCTGAGAGGTGGCCAGAAGCTGCGGCATGCCCGCCAGCACGTGGACATCCTCGCAGGGTGCTCGGTAGCTTGGCACATGCCTTGCCAAAGCCCCGCCTCGTCCCTGGACTTGATCAGCACGGGTGAGTTGGCGTCTCGAACCTGATTCAGCCCAGAGATGCGCAGAAGCTAAATGACCTCAAGATATCAAGTTGGGAGCAGTGTCGGAAAATCAGAGTCCACATGTAAGTCAAGGGGCGTCGAGTTGCACCTCGAAGGTGGCGTTGTGCGTGGTGGCACGCAGCCAGTGCCATGGCTGTAGCCACATCTCTCTCTCCCTCACTTCGGCAAAGCCCATACCAGAACGAGGGGTCAGGCTGCAGATACCTTGGTGCAAAGGGCTTCACTGCTTCCTGAGATTGTGCGAGCAAGGCGACCCTCAAACGGGCCGTGGCACTGAGCACAGAGACGTTCTCAAAGTTCGTGCAGTTGCCTCAGCCGGTGCTACCTACTGTATGATGACGCGTCTCACAGCTTGTTGGTGTCCAGTTGCTCGTATTGCTCCCATTGGTTTCGTTCCGCTCTGTGCAGTTCGGAACGTCAATGTAGCAGTGGTCCAAGTGCAGAGGCATCAGCGGCTCCTGGACCGAAGCTGACATCACACTAAGAGAATCGTTCGAGTGAGGTCGTGCCTTCTCTGGACGAGCGATTTCCTCAACCTCCACATCCCAGACCGGAATCGTGGACTTTTTGTAGGGGTTTCGCTCGAGATCGGTGGGTTCAACCTCAAGCCAACCAGGACGAGACAAGCGCAGGACTGGGCGCGATTGGGCACGATGTGTAAACCTGCCCCAAGCTTCTCATAATGATGCAAGCAGGACACTACGGTGAAGACAACATCACCGGGTGCCAGCCCGGCGAAATTTCTTGGAATGTTTGTAGGCACACCTGTAACGTCAAAGATGAATGTCGTTGATTGATCCTGGGCTTGCAGCTCCTGTTGCTGCGACAGTCGCCGCTCTCAATCAAACCAGTTGGCTGGCTGCCAGTGCACGGAGCATTTGGCTGCAGGCTAGCATCCGTGAAGGAGTTAGGCTCAATCCATATCGTGTAGGTCTTTCCAATCCTGACGACTTGCTTGACACCCCACGCATGGACACCGCCGCAGTTCCCCATGTCGCCAACAATCCCAAAGCTGCCGAGTCACAGAAGCGTTTTGTTGAGAGTCACCTGGCGAACGGCATCTGCCGGACCAGCAGGCTCAGTGATGATTTTTGAGGGAACGATAAAGTCTTCACTCAGCGCAAGGCTAAACCAGAATGGACTGCCCAGGCAAGTTGCCAACAAAACTCGCGCTCTGGGCTTGAAAACAAATTTGTCAAAGGCATGCCAAGGAGCAGAGAGGACTGAGTCACTGATGCTGAGATGCATGGGCGTTGTGACATCGCTCTCGGCAGTGAACGGAATCACGATATGGTCAGTGTTCATGTCGAGGCTGCCTCGGGTTCCGCTGTTCAGAAAGTGTGGAGACGAAGCTTGGGAGCACGAGCTCAAAAGCAGCAGCTTCCAGTGCTGTGACGGTCTGACGAGTTGCCATTTGCGTGGAGGGTGGTGAAGTAAATCTCGTGTGGACCCGCAATCTGTGCGGAGCGTACCATAAGGCTGGCAGGCCAGGCAAATCTCTGCCGTGCAGTGCGCTTGCATGAACAATGCGACATCTTGGCAACGTGGTCAATCATGCAGGGGTGACTCTGCATCAACCGGAACGACGAGCTCGCCTCGGGTCTAGCAGGAGCAACTCCAGCTCTGTGATACGCTCCCCCTCTTTTTTCGCAAAGGGGCAGGCCAGATCTGCTCGGTAGATTGTTGAAAGTTGGAGATTCACACGCTGCGTTAGAAAGAGGCTTTAAGGAAAGTGCATGTTCTCATATAAGTTCTCCCTCTCTCCTCTTCCCTTATACCTTTGCTGAGCAAGACCTCTCCATGAGAAGATACGGCAGAAAGTGAAGTAGAGATGTGTACATGATGCGCGTGCACTCGCAAAGCCTCTGGACAATCATGCATTTCCGTCTGGCTGAGCCGCTTAGGTTGCATGCGTTGCAGCCCGGGGGGTAAACCAACACCTGCTTCTGCGAAGCCGCCGAAGATGCAGACACGTAGAAGCAAACACGACCCCAGTAAGCCAGAGACATACATAGATGTACAGTGGCATAGATGCACACATGCATGCTTGCATACATGCATATACACACATGCACACATGCATGCATACACATAGACACACATAAATACCCACCCGCCTAGGTACCTAAGACATGCTTACATACACACAGACAGCACAACTGCGCATGAACGCGAGCGAAACTCGGCTGCATAAGCATGCATGAACCCTGTTTGTGTGAGCGTCTGTGAGTTTCAACCCTCTCTCTACTTGAAGGGTAAGATGCCATCACACTGATAGCAGGAGGTCGCTTCCCGATAAGCTCCTATGTTCATGTCTGAACGACTGGAAAGTGAAGCAATCCATACCAAGCACCAGCTGCAGCATTCCAAAGCTATACGCTGCACATCCTTGTCTCCTTTCAGTATGAAATGAAAAATTATGAGGTTCCCATTGTTTTTGCCTAGCTGTTGCTTCTGTTCCGCACATGCAGATAACACCGCAGAGAAGGCAGAAAAGCTCTCGCAAATCTTTTTGAGGTGCCGGCTCCGCTGCGGGAACTTTTTGTGAGACAGTCTTCGCACTCTCTAGCAAAGTCTCGGGCAGAAGACAAGGAAGGACTGCGCCAGCCCAAGTTTCCGACGTAATTTGATGCTTCTTTTGAATGCCGCGGCCGAGGAGCTGGAGCCTCAGCACTTCGCGATGGAGCGAAGGCAAACTTGGACTTGTCCAGGTGTCACCGAAATCGCCGTCGGCAATGCCGTAACCACCTGTCAAAATGATCACGCTTCTCTCCAAAAGTACCGCTCGATGGCAATATCTGGGTTGCCATCCAGGGTCTGGCAAGTTCTTCCAGCAGATGTCTCGTCTCGAGTGGGACACTACAACCTTCCAGACTTGATTCAGGTGCTTATTGCCATCGAAACCTCCAAGCAACAAGAAGCTGTCATTTTGAAGCGGGACGAGGGCTGCGCCGCTCAACGGTAGAGGACTTATTCCTTCCCATGTCAGCTCCGACCAAGTCGAACCAACGTCCGTACTCAACCACACATCGGCAAAGTACGTGTCTTCCCCTCTGCCACCAGCCAGCAGCAGGAATCCAGAACTTGTAGCTGCAGCAGCAGTTGCCGCACGAGGAGCAAATGGTGTGTTTGATGCAGCCTGCTCCCAAGTCTCGCCCCCGTCTGGGCTTCGCCACACATCGTTGAAGTACCGCCTCAACCCGACGCCCCCCAGGAGAACCAAGACCTCCGTCCCTGCAACATCCATGGCGATTAGTGAATGGCCATAGCGAGCAAGCCAGGGCCCCTCTCGCAAGTGCACCCATGTGCGGCCTGCAGAATCGTCGCTCCTCCACACATCCCGGTGCAGGCCGCGTCCACCTGTGCCACCGACCACCAGTGCACGGCCGCTCTTGAGACCTGCAGCTGCAAGCCCGCCTCGAGCTGGCCAGGGGGCGCTTGCTGTGCTGCACTCCCACGTGGCTCCAGCATCGCTGCTGTGCCACACGTCTTGCATCACGCGGCCACGTGAAACGCCTCCTAGAATCAGCGTGCGGACGACGGGCGAAAGGTCGTCTCTGACAAGAATCAATGCATGATCACATCGGGCATGCCACTGCACTGGTGCAAGTGTCGGGGCCCATCGCGAGCCCAGCGCCAGCTCGGAGCCATCGCACCCATCCATTGCCGGGTTCCATAGGACGAAAGCTTGAGAAACTGTGGGCTGTGGGTGGGGCTGTGGCACCCCAGCCGTTTGGAAGAAAGAATCTGAACAGAATTCCTTTATTCACCGAGCGGCTCATGAAGAGTTTGAAGCTGTGAATTTGGAGACCCTGCAGGTCGGTGCCTGGCCCGTGCTACGTGTCCTCAAGTGTCCTCACCTCACCTCACCGGACTCACCGGAACCGGCCTGAAGGAGGCTCTGTGGCCACCAGAATCGGCTCCGTGGCGTCTTGGAACGGCGTCGCTGCCACCAGAAAGCGAAAGTCATCGCCTCAGCCCGTCCCCGCGTGCTGGCTTCAGACTACCATGCTGCTTGCAGGGGGCACTGCCGCCTGAGTATCAGATTTTGGCAGCAAGGGAACTTGGAATTTAATCGTTCTCTAGAAGGTACTCTGCTTCTATGATCCCTCCGGCACGCTCCCCTGGAGCATCTCAAGCCGTGCAGGAACCATCTTCAATTGCTCTCGCAACTCCCAGCCCAGAGGCTCGCGTCACACCCCTCTCACACTGAGGCCGTGACCGACTAGGCCTGGAAAAGGCGTGGCGGCCAGATCTTGAATTATCCCAGGTTCCACCTGCAGGCAATGGTAGTTGCCAGCCGTCCTTGGCAACAGACTTCAATTCTGCCAAATGGCAAACGAGTCGGTCTTGGAAGGCCGAGTGGCATGTCTTGGTCTGGAAATCGAACCAGCACGGTGGTGCCGGTTATATAGACCCAGGGCACTGTGCCGTTTTGAGCCTTCGGGCTTTCTTGAGCTTCACTGCGTTGAGAGCAGGAGACTTACAAAGTGGCTTGAAAAGCTTCAGGACCCGTTACCAACTTGGAAGCTGGCATAGGCAGTTGGCAGCTCCACCGGAATAGAAAGAACAGTGTCATCCGCAGTGCTACACAATCCATCGTCCCCTGCATCCACCAAGCGAACTTCGCTGCCAGGCACAATCCTCAGAGAATGCAGATTGACAAAACATCATAAATGCCCTGGGGTCGGTGCAGTCTCCGCGAAAACTTACTGATTGAGCTTGGTGACTGGATCCTCTCGCTGAAAACGAGCGAGATCCTCTGCGTGGTGCTGACGGCCAGGCTGCTGGACAGGGCCGGAACGCTGCTTACCATTCGAGGAGCTACGGTATCAAACTCCTCGGCTGCAACAGGCAGCGGCCGATCCAAACATCCCCATCCACCATTCAGCACTAGAAGCTCTTTCAATAGCTCTGCTGCGGCGCTGCACTACAAGTTCGAAGCCAATGCATGGTCTCAGAAGTGTGGGAGCCAAGGCACATTCCCAAAGATCATAGACAGATCGGAGGACAGTGACACACACTCCTCTGTGTATCCGAATGACTGAAGGGTGTACCACATGCCTTAGGACCAGCAGCTCCAAGCCAGTAGTCAAGCTTCACCAGGTATTACATGGTGCAGCAGAGCGGCCGCCAACATAAAACTGTACCTGTGCAGCAGTGAGCAGCCTGACCACCTCTACAGCAGCTCACCAACTTCGAGTCAACACTCTGTCGGCCAGTGGCATAGATCTCGTCAGGCTTCACCTCCCCCACTTTCCCTTGCAGTCTCAGTGATCGTGCATAAAGGCCGGGTGACTTCCTCAGCTCACCCCCATTTTGCGTTTATCTGCTGCAACCACCCGGGTCGGCGACCGCAGCGACCGAGGCCAGCACACGTGCAAACCGATCCAGCTCCCGGGCACATTGCTGTCACTCCACCAGCACGTCCCCGTACTGGCCGAGATAAATGCACGTCATCGCTTCACCGACATGTAGCACAACCAGTCTTATGTTGCTGGACAACCTGGTGCTATCCCCGCTCGCCCCGCACCTGCTACAGTAAGCAAATGACTTCAGCAGTGTCACACAAAGCCTGCTTGAGCAGAATAAACTCCATACGTTTTGGTTCCTTTCATGGCTACACTGGAAGCTGGAGACTGACGAGACTTGGGTGTCCACGAAACGTTGTGCTCTTCGAGGCCTCTGGGCTCGTCTCGGCCATGGCTTTATCGAATTGTGTAACTTTGTTGGACGTTGTGAGGAACAAGAGGAATCCTGCTTCTTGGGCAGCCTGGGCTTAGCGACTTAGCCACCCCAGGCTGGGGCAGAATTTCATGACATGACACTTATGACATGACAATGCCGGCTTTCTCGAGGCACGCTTCTCCATTCCCCCGGCCTCTGATCGAAAGCCAAGTTCGCCTCGAACTGACTGAACTCCTGGCACAACTACATGTTGGACTCTTCCGCTTGAGCACAGGCAACTTTTCCGCGTCCTGCCAGATGGAGGTATTTGCTTCACTGCTCGATGCAGGTGTCCCCTGCATCAGATCTGTCGTGCAGTCACTCGACAGGAAGAACCTCGGGAAGCGCGAAGAGCCCGAGCGGCAGGCGCCAATCGCCCTTTTGCCGCTTCGAGCTGTGCCAAAGCCCCTGATGGCACTGAGCGCCGGGCTGCAGCTCGCACACATACCAACCCCCAGGCTGACCGACTTCATCGCTGATGTTCCCCGAAGTCAGGCGCCAACCCAGTGGCGTTGAGCTTGCGAGGCCTGAACGAACAGAGGCTCCGCTCTTCCGTGAACTTTACTAACGTCGGAAACCCTGGCCTGTCCGAAAGGTGAAGTCCGTCGCCAAGACACCAGGGAAGTCGACGCCTGCTCAGCTTCGCTGCCCTAGGCCTAGGCCACCCCTTCCTTTGTGGGCCCAGCGACCTGAAATGTCGCGGATGGCTCCCGGCGGAATCACAAACTGGTGGAGGTTCAGTCCGCGGAGGCGCTCGGAGTGCTTGATCAAAACCAGGTGCTTGTTGAAAGATACTGAGAAAGCATCGTGAACCGATATGTCTATCACGCGGTCATCCATATTCCCAACCTGCACTCTGCTGATGACAACTTGCAACATTTCAATGAAAGATAAGGATGAATGCTATCTAAGCAGCGGCGCCGCACAGATTGTCAGCCCCGCAGTCCTGACCAAAGCTTTTTTCAGGCGGAGAGAGGACTCGCCGGCTATGCAACATGCATCTAAGCTTCCACGATATGAAAGTATCCCTCGCCGGCTTGCACCCAATCATTGAACGTTAGAAGCACCTCACTTGCAGCTCCGGGCACAAAGCTATCAAACATTTACCCGGGTCATTCAGGCATCCTCGCGACGGACACAGCCACTGTGGAAACTGCACTAGGCCCATGCATGCCTCCACAAATTGAGCCTGGCAACTTGGAAGTCTGATGTGCTCACTTCCGTCGACCCATTGGCGGGCACGGTCGACATGAGGTAGGGTCCGGTGGAGAGCGCTGGTGCCTGGGACTTGCACGGCCGAACGCACTCGTATCTATTTCATTCTGATTCTATGCGAAAACCCTATGAAACGAAAGCAATCTATCCCAGCTGGAAGCTGCCAAATAGCAGTGACCGGAGTGTCCCACGGGATGTGCACCTCCAACTGGTCCAGGCATGTCTGCATCGTTGCAAAAGAGGCATGCAGGTTGAGCCTGTCCAGGGATTGCTGCCGCACGTCAACTCTGGAACTTGCACTGTGATTTCTTTAAGTCGTCAATGGGACCTGGTTCGCGGGGCGAGGGACGCGCTGAAAATAGACACGTCCTGTTGGATTACCTGCTCGTTGGCATTCGCTCGGCTTACCAACTCCGCAGTGGTGCAGTGAACTGGCAGTGGCATGGCGAAGGTCAGGCCATCTGCCAAGCTCAAATTCAACTCGAAGTAGGTTGGCGAGTCCAGTTCCACCGGCCAAGGGTGCGTGCTTTCATCCGCTTCAAGCTGCAAGACGGTGCTCAGTGTCATGTTCGCTCCCTGCAAGACTTCCACCGCACCAGCAGCTGAAGACTTCGTTGCTACCAACTGCAAGGCTGGCGATACTGGCATAGTAACATTGACCATGTCCATGGGCTCTTCTGCCTGCAGGCGTATTTTTCGTAGCGGCACCGACAACGCACACGCAAAAAAGGCCCCGGCCAGGCCTCAGAGGGCAGCACCACCAGGTCCATGGTTCCCAAGATCAGATCCCGTGGATCATCCGCAGACCTTGTCGAAGCGGCAAGCAGCCAAGCCCCGAACTGCCTGGAGTTAAGGCTGCTAAGGCCACCGAGAGGCAAGTATGCACGTATGTAGAGGCTGACTCTTGCTTCGGTCCCGAAAGGCTCCTCCTGTGCTCAAGAGAATGCTTGCAGCTGCAGCAGGCTTGTAGCTCAGCACAGCAGCCCCGGCAAGTGGCTGCGTCTAGGTCTATACAGTCTGCGTCCCCTCCTGACCAGCATCTGACAACCATCGATAGCACAAGTGCGGAAGCGTCGCATTGATCTCGGAGAGTTTGCCTAGGTTTCTATGTTTTACGAGAGCACACCAAGCGAGTTTCTGCCCAGAAGCCATGGAGAAACACTGCAGCCCCACCTGAAAATAGCATCTCACGTCTTCAAACTGGCTTCGCTTCAGGAACTATATTTGGAAGACCCCAGCCGTGAAACTACCTGGCCTGCGCGATGGGTATCCGCCAGCACACAGTCATTATCTGCTGCCGATCCGTTGAGGAATAAGTACCCGCGTCCTCCAGCAGCCTCAGCTCAAGTAGCGAAGCACTTAGATCTGCGAGTTGGCCCGGATTGAAGAGGAACAACACGACACGAGAGACAAGATGGACAAAAGGCCGCCGGTCCTTTGCCTTTACCGCTGGGGGCTCAACTGTAGCATGAAGCGGCCCCAGCACCACCTCCACAGTAACTGAATCACAGTCTTCCTGTGGACGCTGTCGCAGCGTGTCCACCGTCTGAACCTCGGACTCACACAGCTTGCGGTCCTGGCCCTGTTGGCTCACTGCAAGGAATGGAGTGCAGCAACGGTGCCCCCAGCAGCTAAAACTGCACCCGTGTCAAGAAATATGTGGTGCCGAGCAACCAGTAGGGCATTTATATATGCGGCACTCTTGGATTCTTGGTAACCAGATGCCATGGCATAGATAAGCATGTATTCGCCAACTTTGCGTACATCCTAGGCGTGCCATGGCTTGCCAGATGCTCGGAAACAAGCCGCTCCGGCCTCACGCATGTATCTTTCCTTGGCCGGGGATCGGTCCCATTGATCTCCAGCTCGTCAGCGATCTTCATATAAGCCTTTCGACATTCATTGCCGGCTGAAACGTGGCTGCAATGGCCTTTTGCCCACAAGACCCACAAACATCTCTATAATATCAAGCCGAGCCACATTGCACGTCACGGGTGGCTCCACATAGATAGGCACCTTCGTGTTTTTGCACCAGCTACATTCAAGCGAAGAGCGTTGCCAGTTTATCATGTCAGGTCAGACGCCTCCGTAACGTTGGCATGCATGGAGTCCACAAGCTTGGACGTCACCCGCAGGAATGCGGAGCCTGTGAATCCTGGGAAGGGCTTGAAGCGAATCACCTGGCAAGCACCACTCCGCTGACTCCAAAACAACTCATGGCTTTATCGAGAGCCTGAAGAGCAACATTGAGGTTTCGAAGGGTAGCACGAAGGGCCAGAAAAGTCCGAAGGCCAGCCCCGAAGCGGTGTTGCACATCCTGGGATGCATGAGCAATACGGTGCATAACAGCAAGATGGAACAAGCAGCTACTGGCCCCACTGGCCCCACTGGCCCCACCAGCCCAGCTGCCGCTATGGCTTCCTCTGGCAAAAACTTGTTGTTGTATTGAGCAAGCTCCACCTCACCCCCATATGGAACGGAGACATTGCCTGAGTGCCAGCAAACACATCAAAAAGGTTCAAACCAAATGAGAAGCTTCAGCAACTGCCTCCGAGCAGCATTCATATATTCTGCCTTCGTTCTGGTCGGCTGGGATCAGTTGCACCCCCAGCCCGCCAGCACGTGTCACAGGATCTTCCAAGCCTTTGGCTCTAGATCATGAGGTCACATGAGTACATGATGATACCATGCATCCGTCGCCCCACCTGGTCGAGTTCTGTTGTGGTCGGCGTGGAACATGGACTCGCCGGGCCCATCTTGCAGGCCGTGAACCAGAAAGGATGGAGGGAGGTCCGTGGGAGACACCCGCAGTTTCACGCGCCACATGTCGCTCAGCGGCTCCCCACGGCCTGGCAAAAGCCGGCAGAGAGATGGCGAATTTTGGGCGTCTCAAGACTCGCAAAGCCTGGCCTGAAAGCCCTCGATCATCCAAATGCACCTCGAGATCTCCCTGTGCAGCTGCTTGATCCACAGGCATGGACAGAAGGAGTCGATCTGCCACCTCAGGGACAGACAGAGCCAGAAGTCACGGCACCGTTATGCCGCTACTTTGCTATGCTGCTACGCGCGGCTTCCCGGTCCGAAGCCTGTGGCAGCAGGTCCGGGCGGACCCGAAGCTCCAGAGCAGAACAGCCCTGGCCCGAAGCAGCTGCCTCCACACCGCAGGCCTCCCGAGTTGAAGCTTCGCTGACTTTTTGCCCTTCGTGCCACATGGTGAATAGGACAGGGGAAGCGGACGTGGACAGAGGCAGGAAAGTGAAACAAAGGAGACGGAGTACGGGATATCATGAGGCAGGTCACTTCCTGGTCATGTGAGGATTTCAACTTTCTGTGCGCACTCGCACCCTGCACGGAGGATTGGTTGCCAACTCACGAAAAAGAGTCTGCTGGGACACAGGGTGATTTCTGCTGTGCTGGACTGCAGGGCGCAGCTCGGAACCCTGAGCCGAAGAGGAGTAACAACACGAGGCACAGGTTGAGTGAATGTCGAGAGAACCGCACGCCGAGCTTGCTGGGTGGAGGATTGCTTCAGGTCACAGGAATGACTGAAGGCCTAGAGTCCAGGGCCTTGCTACGTATTGGATCCTGGCTGCTGCCCACATGATAAATCAAGACGTAAATCCGCTCGATCAGACGTCGCCCACCCCCCATGCTGGACTTGCTTCCCGGCAGAATGCTGACGTTATAACATCATGTTGCGCCTCCGAACAAGTCCTGTTGCTTCCCCCAACCTGGAACTGCAGCTCCTGTGTGGGATCAATGCCCGTCCAGTCCTGAGATTCTGAAAACCAGGCGAGCTCTGAACACAAGCGAAACAATTCTCAGAGCCGGAACATGACCTTGTGAATCGTGACCATGGGTTTCACTCCACGTTCCACCATTGCTTGAATGAATATTTTGCAACAACAAGTGTAGGACCTCTCCAATTTGGCTGCCAAGGGCACCGTCACCGTCAGAAGGCCCGGAGATGTGCGTACACGGACTATGACTGACAGGAGGTCAGAACCAGACAGCAGCAGATCCTCCTGAGTTGGGCGACACCAGGCAGATTAACCGTTCACGCAAATTTCAGTTGCCCCTTTCTGCAAGCCTATCAATGCAGCCGTGCTTCTGGACCAGCTGTTTCAGGCAAGCCAACCCTAGGAAGTCGCCAGATGTCACTGAGGCCTCTTTGATTCCCAAGCATGGCAACAAATTTCACCACCTTTGCTTTAGCCTGTGCCAAGACTGCACACCTTCTTCAGCGGCGCTCGGTTTCTCGATCTCTCATCCCTTCCTGCCGGCGCGTCTGCTTGCTTGTTTGAGATCCTGGAGCCCAAGGACCCCCCTTGGCTCACCCTACAATCGGGCCCCCTGGCCCTAAGACACCCGGCTCGCGTCTACTGTCTGCTGCCTGTTGCTTTCTTTTCTGCCCGGCTCGATCGCATCTCATTGTCAGGAGTGGAGACAGCTGCCTGTGTCTTTCTCTCTCTTGCTTGCTGCATGCTCAAGATGGGGTATTCCCCTCCCCCCCACTCCCAGGAGGGGGCCAAATCAAGCATCTCGCGCGAAGATCAGCGTGAAACTGCAAGGAATGCCAGATTACATCTTTGCCGAACCCGACACTCCCGATTCCCGCTTGCTCGCTCACTCGCTCGCTCGCTTGCAGGGGGCATGGGGCCCGAGGGGACCCCTGGTCTGCTCTCTCCGCCGTCCCCGGGTGCCTGTTCCCTGGAAAAGTTTCCCTTTCCATGGCTTGACTGTATTGGAAAAGGTCGAACGGCCAATCCCCCACTGTGTGATGAAGCAACAAGGTCTCTCTCTTGCTTGCTTGCTTGCTAGGGGTGTGGAGTG